AGGAAGGAAGGAAGGAAGGAAGGAAGGAAGGAAGGAAGATAAGAAGTTCCATTTGACTTCAGCACCCAGCAAACTCCACACACTGGTGATGTCTCATTGTCTTCATAAAACCCACCACTGACATTTATTCACATAACGCTTAAGATGTTTATTTTATTATGACTCTCCAGTTTAGCAACACTCCAGGGCATTTGGGGAATTGAAAATGGAATCCTGTTCTGCAAGCAGAGATTGCTTAGCTTATGACATGCCTTGGGCCAACCTTACCAATGAGAAGATCCCATGATCTTTTTGGCAAGGAGCGCACATTTGCAAGCGGCTTTTCCAGTTCTTAGCCCCGTCATCCAGCTACAAGAATATCCCTCCCACCCATTCTGATGATGATTGCCCTTGGGACATCTGGCAAAAATCAGCCATAGCGTACTTTCCAAAGTGTAGCCTACAATATGTTTGAGTCTTTTTCCCCCCCTTCCTTCTGTCTGCTGCAGAGATTCTGCTCTGTGAATTTTCTCAGAGCTCACTGCAGCCTGAGTCAGCTGCCTCTTGGGAGTTCATTTGCTGTAGCAGAAGAAATATTAATGTTAAGCAGATTTTGTGAGTTGTGGGAAAGGAAAGAGGCAGTGAGCAGATTACCCCAGCTTAAGGCTATTATATGCACTGCAACTTTCAAAGGCAGAAGCATCTTGACAGGGATTTGGGAACCCTCTTATCTTCTTACTGATATTTGAGATATATTTCTCCATTTGGGTGGGTTGATGATTTAATAATAAATCGTCCTTTCTTTTTAAGGGGAAAATTGAACTAATTCTGAACATTGGAGGGGGAGGATGTGACATAAATGAAAAGTTCAATTAAAGACCATTCTAGTTGCATGATTATGAGTGTCCTGATCTCTGCCCTTTCCTCCACCCCCCTGCCCCCTTTTCTAACCAACATCTGAGCCTGTCATCAGAGGATTCATTCCAGGTTCAAGACTTTGGAGGCACTGATGATCTTTCTGCTGTTGTCTAAAGGGATTATAAGCTTTTCTCAAGCTGATGCTAATATGCCAGAAAAAGCAAGGTGAGGTGAAGTGGGAATGGGTTTCCAAAAAAATCTTTCTCCCACTCCTTGCTGAAAAACCCCAGTAATCATAACAACTAGATAATCATTTTGTTTATCAAGCATTCATCCCACCCCTTGCATTATTCTGAGAGGCCTTTTACATGCACAGATTCAGGAAAATAGGATAACACCGCCCCTTACAAAAGCCTAGGCTTACGTTCCCAATTCTGAAATCCCTTTGGAAAAAAAGCAAAGAAAGTGAAGGGAATACGTTATGGGTTATCAGCAACTGATTTTGATTGCCTTTGAAGAGAAAGGAGGCCAACGTCTTTTGATTTTGAGAAACGATTCAGAAAAGTTGCATTGCAACAATGTGGGTTAAAGCGTGCAGAGATTCAGAGGAAGAAGGGGAAAATAGCATCTGGTATGTTGGAGAATTGAAAGTCCTTCCACCTTGAAGGATATTCTCTGTTGCCTAATTCCCCTTTAAGTGTAGACACACATTTAATTTCACACATTGTCACTGATGTAGTTTCCTAGACTCCTAGAAGGTATCTGGGGTACCATCTAGTCCACTCCCTCTACCCCTTGCAAAAACCACTGCTGTAGCTTCTGTGATAGTCACCAGCATTTGTTTAAAGACCTCCATTGAAGGACAGCCCGCTATTTCCTGACCCAGCTGAGCCATGCTTGAACAGCTTATTGCTCGGAATTTTTTTTCTTGATGTCTGACCAAAATCTGCCAGCTTGCCTGTTCCATTTCATTTCACAATGCAGAGACCACCCAACTCCACAAAACACTGGCCGGTTCATACTTTTAAAAGCCAGAGCAATAATAAAGAAGCGAAAGTCACAGATGGCCAGACAAAACGATCCATAATCGGTGACAAATCCTACAAGGGCTTGACACCCGTCCTATGCCAAGACCTGGGAGAATAGCCAAGTTTTCAACAACTTTCTGAACATCATCAGGGTGGGAGCCAAATGGATCTTGGTTGTTTTGTTTGAACATAGCCTGTCCTCAGAATAACACGCTACAGTGTTTGCTGAACTGGATTGTCTTCACTTGCAAGATATCTACAGCTAAAGTCAGGAGGAACTTGGCTAATCCTACCTGGAGTCGCTCATATCTGGCTACACATGCAACCTTTGCCTGTTTAATGCTAACAGTCAGGGATCCTGGTTAAGGAGACTGTAATCACATTCAGGCAAATGGGCTTAGTGGCCAGCTGTGCCAAGATTCTTGGGCTGGATCAGATACATATTTTCACATCCCCTCCTTACTTAATTGCCCTTGCATTGCAGGCAAACACCTGCATAGGCCTCTTGTTAGCGGAATGATTCTAGACATCACCAACTATTTTGGTGCAATTCTTTTTGAGTAAGCAAACACCTTTGTTTGTTTCAGCCAACATAGGAAAACTCTCTAAACCAACAAGGAAGAGCCAGAATACATTCTGAATCTGATACAGTCTTCCTAAGAACTTTTCCCGTGCCAAATAATGGTGCATGTGAAGTTCTTATAGACATAAGCCTTTTCTCTTTAAACTTTCCTCTGTCTTCTCCCATCACCCATCCTGCATCCGTCATGGCCATTTCCAACCAAACCAGTCCATGAGACCACTGTAATCTCAGGAAAATTGCTCGATAGAGGCTTAGAAGTTAAGCCTGCTAGGCACAGCTCAGGTGGGGCATGTGTTAGCAGAGAACGTTAATTTAATTCCACTCAGTTTTGCTTTTAGATTTGATTTGGAAGGAGAAAGAAGTCATAGTATGCTACAGAATGTAGCGATGCATTCATAAACAGTCAGCGAAAGCTCTAGGGCCAAAGAAAGTGAATTTGGGGGCAACTGTAATAGCAACCTTTTTGCACATTAATCAAGAAGTCAGGTTTGTGTTTAGAGGAAGTTCTAGGATTAATACCAAAACACTGCAAATTTAATCTTCAGGGTAAAGCAGACGGATGCTTTGCTGTCTCGGCTACCTTTGGAAAACTCTCCATGGAATGTCCCCAATATCCTTGCTTTAGGAACTGCAACGGTAAATTTTTATGTTCTGCCAGCTGGAGCCTGTATGGTATTTCACCAAGGCACTGGGAAAGGGTGGGGTGGGGTGGGGTGGAAGCAGGGGATGAGACCCAGATCCTGTCTAGTATTCCCCCTGTGGTAATACAGAAACCTGTATGAATTGCAGAAAGAGAATACAAAATAATCTTCTCTTGCAATTCTACTCCATCAATGAGTCTTCTGCATTCAGATGTACCTGGTATCTAATCTACAGTTAGCACACAGCCATGATTATCTATATCTTCCGTGAGCTTGCTTAATCCTCTTTTAATGTCATCTAAGCATGTTTCATAGCTCTACTATGTGTAGAGGGAATAAGTACCTCTTTGACTCATCCTGAATCTTCCACCATTCTTTGCCCATAGCTTGGACCTCACAAAGCTGATGAAATCCCGGAACAGGGGGACTCTCAATGAAACAGAATTCAGTTCATATTCTATTAGCTATGTCACTTTTATGTCATTTGTTTTTCACAGAAGAAGCATGCACACACACACACACACATTTACCATACTTACCTCCAGTGTTGAGAATATCATATAGCCCTTCCCATGGGACCTAAACAAATTTGGGATCCCTGCTTGCTAAACATGGATGCATGAAGAAGGGGTGGAAGGAGAGGAGCAATAGAAGAATAGGAGAAAGCCATATTTTTTATTTACCTACCTCTGCCTTGTCGTAAAGAAAAGCTAGATGCATTCAGATGGAGGACTGAGCATCTCAAATGGGCATTTGTTGGAGCTCTGAGTCAGTAGGAGGATCCCACAACTCTTCAATGTTTACTGTGCATGGAGTGCCAAAAATCTCTGCGTAGCCTACGAGAAACCTCATTTGTCTCAAAGAGAATTATTCATGTGTCCTACCTCTGCCAAGTTAGAAAGGTCTACTGAGAATGCAATTTCCACCCCACCGCACCCTGTTCATGTAACTATTTGTTGTTCTACTATATAAGACTATTTCCTCTCATTAATTATTGAGTTTGGGAGAAGAAAATTATCCATTTCTAAAACAAAAGGATGCAGGAAGTCAACACGGGCCCTTCTTGGTGATGGCACCATGGATGTTCAGAAGAATCAGGCAATGAAAGGAGAAGCAATGGATGTACTAGCAAAAGTTTCAGATGAACAGTTTTCTGGGGGGAAAAGAGAGAGATAAATAAAGACTTATGGACCCCCAACATCAGACCAGTCCTTTCCGAGTTCTTCCCCACTTTGGACCTATCCTTCCTAAATTCCCAGCTTCAGGTACAGTATAAATCAGGACACAGAAAGATCATCATTTCAGCTTGACGTTGATTCCATGACACCAGTCGCTGGATTCTCCCTCCTAGGAGAAGGCACCATACCTGTAGATTCCACACTTTTGTGGGATGTTTCCCACAATTATTGTATTTTTCAACTGCCGGAGCCCAGAATGGCTACCAGGAACATCTCATCTCAGCCAATTGTGCCCAGTTCCTTCACAATGGTGCATGGCTATGAATTAGGGGAAGAAGTACAGTAGATATCTGCTCCTTGCCATTTGTCATCTATAAAATGGGATTAAGAGCAACCAAATCTACAGCTTAATTGTCAGGACAACGAGGCCGGGATTAACTTGATGGTGGCCATGCTTGAGCCAACCCAGCCTGCAAATCAGCTGCAAAGATGCTTGCTGATCCCTTTGATTTTCTTGCACTGCCTTTCTGGTGTTCCTCACACTGCACCCTGACCCTTTGTTTCTCTGCACGGGCATTCGAGGTTGGCTTTGCTCTTTCTTAAGGACGGGCGTGCAAATACTGAAGCCTTCGAATTCTTGTGCCAAAATTAAAAAAAATAATAATAATTCAAAGACACGTATCTTCCGCCACGATGGCCTTCAGCAGCTCCAGGACTGCACAGGAACGCCGAGCGAAGCCTACAGCTTCCCAGCTTTAGTGCACCGCAGAATACCGAGCAATTCAGCCTCGTCCTCTGGAATACTGAGCGGCCAGTTGGTGGACACCGTTGGAATATTGAGTAATTCACAGGCAAGAGCTTCTGCATTCCCGAGCAGCTGCGTGCCTGTGGAATGGGAACTAAGGGGCAGTTACATACTCTTTTCCCCCTATGATGCAGTGAGGTATCCAGATGCTCAGGTTGGGAAGGTGCTTTGTGCAGGTGTGCAACTGCAGAAACAAAGTGGGAAGCTGTTGAGGGCTTCCAGAAGATCCTATGTGTAGGTGTGTGTGTAAGAGAGAGAGAAGGGGCTGGGTAGAACATTCCACCTGAATATTTTGAAAACCCAGGTTTTCCTCTCTGCCCTCCCTCAATCCATTGCCATGCTACATTTCACTCTTTTTAAAATCCTCCTAGCTGTTGCTGGCTGGCTAAAGGCACTCGGTGTGTGACTCTGGAAGCCCAACGCCAGACTTTTGGAGTTCAGTCAGAGCAGATAGTTTCAGCTCCCCAGTTAGCCATGAAATTCACGGGGAGCTTTTGGTCCATTTGTTCCTTCTAGCCTGACCTAACTCAGAAGGTCGTTGTATTGATAACAGAAAGTGATGGGGAGGCAACATCCTTAAAAAAAGATTAGGATAAATGTACATTAAGCAGAGACGGAGAAATTAATCATCCTCCATTTTGCTTTCTCATTCTCCCTGTCTAAACTGACTCCATTCATTTTTCTGCCTGTCTTACGAATGTTTTTTAAGTTGACAAGCACACACAGATGTTTTGCCTAATGCACACCTGTTTTGATACACTTCTATCTTGTATAACCCCAGACTTCACCCTGTCAAGCACGCTTTTGTATTTCAATGTTTCTCAAGAGGAACTGTCTTCATTTGTTCACTTTTCTACTAAAAGCTATTTTTGGGGGCATGCATTTTTTAAAAAATTGTTCACAGAGTAATCAAAATAATAATTTAAAAACTGTGGTTATAGCCCAACGTAAGGTGAAGACAATGAGCAATTTCACATTTTTCTCCCATCCCTTATGAACTTCTTAGGGGTGGGGTTAACATAACACTTTTTTTAACTTAACCTTAAACCTGGGTCCCATTAGGAAGGAGGAAAGTTTCAAGTCTCTCTTTCTTTCAAACTGGAAAAAAAATGGGGTGCAGGAAGAGTCAACTATTTGCAATTTGCCACGTTGAACGAATTCTAACCTCACATTTCTGGGATAAGAACATAGCTCTCATTTACACTGGGCACTCCTTAGAAGTTTGCAACGTACAGCAATACACGGAAAGGATTTCTATTATTATTTTGAGATGAAACCTCATATGGGAAGAAGGGATGTCTAGGCTACCAGCTCCATCATACTTCCTGACATGGTCTCTCCGGTGCTTTGCCATGGAGGAAAGTTCCACCCTGGAATTCCTCACCCACCCATTTCGGATTTCCCTTCTTGCAGGAACTTATCCCATTATTTCTGAATTTGTGTATAACTGAGTTACGGGGGTGGGGAAGGAGGAGGGAGGAAAGTCATAGTGCTAAAGAACACTTTGGGGTCTTTTCTTCAAAGCCTATTTTGTATGCTGATGCTTCTCCCCCTTTCAGAGCCTGTGTGGAGGAGGGTACGCCTCTGGTGAGCCCATAAATCATCTCGGTAATTGGTGATCAAAGACTTGTAGCCGTCCAGGCAGATATTCCCAATTGGCAGGTGCCAGTTCTGGCAGCGTGGTCATCCAAACACCCTGGTGCTGCTGTAGCAGTGCCCCCAGCTTCCGAAAGATGTAACGGAATCGATGCGAGCTCTAAGGGTGCCCTAAAAGCCACCGATTCCAAAGTGGTTGGGGTGTGCAGGTGCGTGAAATCTCCCAGTGATCATTGGGACAGCAGGGGTTGAAAGCTGTCTCGTGCATGTTGTCAAGATGGTTATCTGACATCGGAGGGATCCTGAGTCAAGCTGTCGCTGCCCCGTGTCTCCATCAGTGAGAACAGATGCCTGAAATGCAAGCTGAGGCAGGCAGGCAAGCATGCAAGCAATTCCCAGGCCGTGAATTCTTACGGGAGCATGCCAAGAGATATTGCCATCACACTCCAGGGAATCTCACTTCTTTTCTCCTCAACCCCAAACTGCATAAACCTGAGACCTCAAGCAGAACTCAGAACTCAATATGCTGATAATACACTTGAGATACGTTGCTTCCTCGCTTGCTGGTCCAAGGCGATGTTAAATCAAATTGCTGATTTTAATCTTCCAAGCCATTTTTGGCTCGGGGCACAACGTGTGCCGGTTGCTCTACGCCTTAGCTGATGTGACACAATTACAATTGGATACTCTTTGCATCGTTCACACCATCTGATAGGGGCGGACTGGATACTCCAGAAATGGTTAGGCCTCTTGGCTTTGCAAAGCTTTCATTGGGGCTCCAGCACCAATCAAAGACTTCTGTTTTATTGCATTCGTGGCATTTCCTTTGACCTTGGCTCCTTTAAGTCTGCACTATTTTGTTCGGTTAAGGAGATTGTTATTTTAATCTGCCTAGATGATTTATCTCGTATTTTATTCTCGGAGAACCAAAATCACTATCGATATAGGTGAGTGTCAGAATCCCTGACTCCACTTAAGTATGAGAAGACCCAAGCTATTCCACCCATTTCAAAATCATCACCGTCACCGTCACCAAAACCATATCAGAGCACTGAACTATCCAGGATTCTTTTGTTTATCTCTAATTTGTCACCACCGTAGAATAATTAAATTAATCGAATTACTTCACTTAATAGGATCACTCCCCAGCAAGTGCCACTCCCTCCAATTCACACGATTTTTTATCTCAGTTAAGTCTAAATTATCCACTTCAAACTATTTCCTAGGCTGTCTTTGTTCCTCTTTTTATTATTATTAATATATCTAAAAAAAATATCCTTGGAGGTATAATTAACTTTTCCGTTCAGAATTCTAATTTGCTTCTCTCACACCCATTTTTCTGCAGTATTTAAACTATCTATTATGCAAACGCCAAGAAGTCAAACTATGAATTATGTACCAATCTCTGTGTAGCTTTCACTTAATCACTGCATTTCAGTGTTTCCTGGTTCAAGGTAACCAACTGCAGAGAGAAGTGCATTACTGCAGGTTTAATGCTTAGCAACTGGATTTGCTGTTCATATATGAAATTAAATTCCAGGCAAGGCACTCACAGCAGAACCCTGCAGAATGTAGATTATTACAATCTTGAAATGGCAAAGGAAAGGGGAACTTTAATAATTTCAGAGGGATGGGTGGCTGAGCACGTGAGGCAGCCAAGTTTTCTTTAAATGTGCGCAAGAAAGTTAGCAGCTGCTCGCAGAGGCCACTTTGAAAAAGAGCCTTTGACTCTTTCAACCATCACACAGCAGTAGTCATTTCAAAAAGAAATACAAAGTGGGGAGAGAGAGTGAGAGAGAAGCAGGGCTCAGTCATAATTTTTGCAGAGAATCCAGCCACATACAGCCCTTCCCTAGTTGGCCTCCATCATGATGCTACCGACCGTATTTTCACCCCACTGGGTCATGTTAAGAAATGTCACTTTCTGATCTTTGCCTCACCTTTTTATTTCCCCCTTTTCCCTCCCCACCCTTCTTTCCTTGCATGCTATTTCTTTTACCTTTTCCGTCTCAGGAGAAGAAACATCCTCCTCCTGATCTTTGGAAGCTCCTCCTGGATCTTTGTAGCTACAAGACAGCCAGTTAAAAAGGCTCGAGATGCCTTTATCAACTTTTGGAGTGTAACAAGAGGAAATCATGCCATGTTAAGTTGTAATTTTATTCCCCAGGACAATGGGA